ACCTTCCTTGGATCCATCTCACATTTTACATTTTCTTATGTAGAATTTTCACTCTTGTTAGATTTCTGTTTCAAGATAAAATTTCTCTCCATATAATATCTTTAAAAAGCTGAACTAAGTTTGTCCTTTAAACCTCTCAGCTAGTCTCTGGAATCCTTCTTTTCAGTATAACTGGTCTCCTTCCTGCCCCAGAGAAGTGCCTTGCTTTACTCCTGAGCTCCCAGTAGTGTTTCCACTCATTGCCCTTGTCACTTCCATTTTCTTTCTGCGTTACTCAGCTTTCGAAGTTGTCCTGGTTAAAAGCTACTTTTGCCAGCCTAGCGCTAGCCCTGGTGACATACTCTGGTATTTTCCATATGCTTTCTGTGTTTGCTGCCTCTTTCCGCATGTGTAGGTATTTCTTTCTTAGATAGGCTTTATGCTCCTTGAGTAAAGATGAGAATTTGATTCATCTGGAGCTCCAGTACCAGGTGAATACGTTTATTCTCTCATTTATTAAATTAACAGTAATTTTTACTGATTGCCTGTTGTGTACTAGGCCCTAAGATTATAAAATGATAGCTATTTTTTGTTCTCAAGGATTCAGAAGTGTAGTGTTGGATTCAGGTCAGAACTCGGGTGGAATTAACACGTGCCCTGTATGTGATGGCGATATGCTAGCTGCTGTGAAGGATAGTAAAAGGGCACATAGCTTGAACAGGAGAGAGTACATGATTTATGCCTTTATGGACCAGTAGGAAGTAATGCTTGGGATGTAACTGATACACAAGACATCATTTTTAACTAAGAAATAACTTGGTTTTAAGGGAGCAAAGATCAAACCTAGAGGAACTGGATCAATTTCCAGCAGAATATAAATGCTGCAAAATGGCCTCATAAGAAGTAGAAAACTACCACAATTGTAATAGAAGTCATTGGAAATATGACTAATGTCTGTTAAAAGAAGATATCCTATTTAGATGGCATGACACTAAATTTTCATACACCTTTGAAGATCAGATAATTCCAATGTCAGCTTTGCTAACTGTAAACAAAGCAACTGTAACCTAGACAGTAAGAAATGGTGTAGAACCCTCATAGAACCCCAGATCTACAGATAAGTTATGAGGATAGTATTAACTCATATTGAAGATGTACAATTACGATAAACATCACGATGACAAAATAATAAGCAGAATAAAAAATAAAACCTGTGAAGATGATCTTATTTAGGATTATATGTACACAAATTCTAAATATGCTCAGCGCCTGTGGCTCAAGTGGCTAAGGCGCCAGCCACATACACCTAAGGTGGCTGGTTCAAATCCCCAGCCCGGGCCCACTAAACAACAATGATGGCTGCAACCAAAAAATGGCCAGGCGTTGTGGTGGGCGCCTGTAGTCCCAGCTACTTGGGAGGCTGAGGCAGGAGACTCGCTTGAGCCCAGGAGTTGGAGGTTGCTGTGAGCGTGATGCCATGGCACTCTACCCAGGGGGATAGCTTGAGGCTCTGTCTCAAAAAACAAAGAACAAAAATTCTAAATAGAATAGCATAGTTAATGCATCAGTACACCAAAATACTATGACTATGACAGAGTATTCTATTTTAGGAATTATTAATTATTAATTCCTAAAATAGTATATTTTAGAAATATTATTAGGAATGCAAAGATGGTTCAATACCCGGAAATCTGTCACCAGGATTCATTGCATCACCAAATGAAGGTAGGAAAAAGGAGACGATTATATCAGTGAATGCTATGGACAGTCTAGATAGTTATGGCTAAGGGAGAATGGCATTCATTCATTCACTCATTCCTACATGATACTTTTTAAGGGTTTCTTGGCTAGGCAATGTGCTGGTATAGGAAGACTACCCAGGTGCTTCAAGTTTATTGGGGCATACAGGTAGTTGAATAAATACCTTCCATGTTGACTGTTATAAGAAAAGTGCTATAACATCCTCAAAATGGAATTAAACGATTCTTGGAGATAATTCAGGAAATGGTCACCGAGACAGAGACATTCGAGCTTGGGCAATATAAGAATATAGGGCTTGGTAGAAAGTGCAAGGGGTGAAATGGTGTTATCAATGATGGGGACATCATGAGCAAGGATTCAAGATCATGAAAGTTTATTGTAAATCCTGGGGTTGGTGTCACAAATCACTGTTGGCAAAGAAAAGAATGAAAAGAGAAGATGCTTAAAAAGGTCATCTGGAAACAGTGAAAACAGTGATTGGCCAGAGGTCACCCTCCCAGGTGGTGGAGCTGGAGGTGCTTTCCTGGAGAAGTTAGTATCTGATAATTTATGATGCTAGGGACAACTGCAGTGATGATGGAATCAATGATTTGCACATTGATGCTTAAGTTTTTCATTTTTATGTGATCCCAGAGGTTGCCTCTTCCTCTTATTTATGCCGTATCCAAAAAGGCCAAAGTGCCACAATCAGTAACTTGGGATTACTCTGGAAATGTGCATCTTTTCTTTAGAAATCATTGCATTTTATATTAGCCAGTTTTTTAAAGTTTCTATTTGCATAAGTTTAGATTTACAGATAAGTTATGAGGATAGTATTAACTCATATTGAAGATGTACAATTAAAATTTACACTACAAATGTGCACAGAGCATTGACTCCCTGAGTCCTTACTTTGGCCCCACTTAGTCTACGTTTATAGTCACTTTAGTCACGTTGAAAGCAAAACAGTCTTTTTTTTTTTTGCAGTTTTTTGGCTGAGGCTGGGCTTGAACCCACCACCTCTGGCATCCAGGGTGAGAGCCCTACTACTTTCAGCCATAGGCGCCACCCCCAAACAGTCATTTTTATCACCATTTAGTAGCAGACCAAGCCTCCATTAAAAACAAACAAAACAGAAAACTAAAATGGGTATTTTTGCAACCCTAAAGGATGGGCTTGATTTTGGTATTTAGGAAAAAATGTTCTCAAGTGATTCCAAATATTCAGCCAGATTTAAGAACCATGAGCAAAGTAGACATTCAGTGGGTATTTTTCTATACTGTTTTGTGCTAAGCCTTAATGGTGGGTTAGAGATGTGTAAAATATGGTCCCTCCACTTTTAAGGAACTCACAGGTTAGCAAATGTATGTGTGTGTGTCTTTGTGTGTGTGTGTGTGTGAAAGTTAAAAGGTGCACATGCTTATGTAAAGGGTACAGGGGAAGATAAGAACAAGAAGGTCCTCATAACCACAGTGAGAAGCCTCAGTACCGCGTGTTCTGATCCCCAACTTAGAGTCTTCATCATCAGTCTTCAGCACTGTTTCATGTTGTCCTCTTCTGTTGAGAAAATTATACCTCAACTGTTTTCCTCTGTGCAAGATGGTCGTGTAATTCCCAGTGACATCCTATGAGAATGGAGGCGTTCCTTTCTTCTCACTTTGCACAATATATACACTTTGAAGTATATAAAGCACTTTAATTTTGTCTTGTCAGTTGTCATAAAAACTCTGCAATTTAAGGAGGACTGTTTTGTTTTAATCTTAATTTTTAAAAGTGTAAATATCCGAGCACTAGAGGAGGTGCTATTAGAGGCCAGACCACTTGTCAGCATAGACTGTTGCTGACCCTGCAGCACTCTCTCCCAGCTCTCCCCCTCCACCCTGCCTCGCTATTGCTCTGCCATGTACTGAGACCCTTTTCCTGCATTTCTGGTGCTCTTTTTCTTTATACACATCTGCAGGTAATCATGTAGCCCTCTTAATTAATTCAGTTCAATTAATAAATTACTAGGTGGATTTGGGGCTGGGAGCGAGTGCAGGGTGCCTTCCGGGCCTCCCTGGGCTGGAGAGCTCTTGCAATCAGACTTGGAGAGCCCTCCTTGTGGCAGTCTATGAGGGCCGTCCCCAGCAGGCAGGCTGCCTGGAGGGGTGATTTGCTTGCCCTGACAGGAGACAGACAGGATTTTCCTTTCTTCTGCTCAGAGCAGCATCCAGCTGCACTGGCTGACCCACCTCCTAGGTAAAGAAAGCTTTATGTGAGGAACCAAGGTGGTGGCAGCTCTGCACAGCCCTGGGTGGGCATTGGTTTGCTGCG